CACCTGTAATATGACCTGTACCTGTGTGTTACCTGTATCTCTCTACCTGTAATATGAACTGTAGCTGTGTTAACATAGGTAACTGTATCTATGTACCTGTAGTGGACAAGGGAGCATACTGTAGTACTTACTCCTCTAGTACAGGCTGACGTGAGTGGAGGCTGCTGAGGAGGCCACCACCTGAAGTAAAAAGCACCTCACTAATTACTATATCCCGGCCACTCCAACAGGTAGACCAGGTGTTGAGGTAACTCCTGGCCTACCTACCTCCCTATCTACCTTTCTCCATCCCTACCTCCCTCTCCCCTGGCCTCCTTACCTCCCTCTCTCCTGGCCTCCCTCACCTCCTTACCTACCTCCGTCCTCATTTCCCTCCTGGTGAGAGAGTGAAGGGTGAGGGAATTGGGTGAGAAAGGGTGACTGGTAAGGGAGTGAGAGCCCAGGCTAAGTATGGGAGGGAGAATCCAAGGTAGGTAAGGGAGTTCAGGTGAGCGGTCAGGAGGAGGGGGGCAAAGGGTGGCTGGGGTCACTAAGAGCATCACACTCGCCAACTCACGTCCGCCGGAAGCTGCTGACTCGCCACTATCGTCCCTACTACTAAACTCGGCCTCCTACACCACTACTGTACTGTAAACACACGGCAATGTCTTCCGGGGTAATAAATGAAGATTGGACACCCCGTTTATTTCACCTTTAGATTAGACACTGTAGCTTATTTCACCTGAAGATTAGACATCCCAGCTAATTTCACCTGAAGATTAGACATCCCAGCTTATTTCACCTGAAGATTAGACATCCCAGCTAATTTCACCTGAAGATTAGACATCCCAGCTTATTTCACCTGAAGATTAGACGCTCCAGTTAATTTCATCTGAAGGTTAGACTCCCTGACATTGCCCGTCTCATGTTCCCTCAACAACCACGACTCTTGAAACAGCGAAAATTGCAACACACACACACACACAGAGTCGAGTCTCACGTGACTGCCTGATGACATAATCTACGTCATTATCCACCAGCAAGCAATGTCACAATCATGAACAGATGTAACTCATAGCATTTCAACCGTGATTATAACTTTGATAAATAGATAGTATTCGGATTGTCTAATATGATACATTAAGTTATGGTAAAATCTCAAATATAAGATTTTGGGATGATATTCGTGTGAGTTAAACAATTAGGTAAAAACATCTTAATTTACGAACCTTTTTGAGAAACCTTCACTCTCATCCCCCTCTTACCTAACATTCGATCAACAATGCAAATTACACAAACATCAAAATACGCATTTATGGTCAATTATACTTTTACTGTCATTCATCTCGTCATCAGTTTGTTGTGGAGGTCAATTTCTCGGGATTTTAATTCATGAATGAACGGCAATTTATATAAAGAATGGCTCATCTTACGTAATATATGAACACTGGTATTATCATTGTTGACATTACCGGGTTACAGTCAGGCGTCACTATATCTGGGAAAAAAGTCATGGGAAAAATAACGGGTAAAAAGTCATGGGAAAAATGTAGTAGGAATGTCAAGTGAAATTCTTGAACAAGGTCACGGGAGAAAAGTAAAGGGAAAATTACGGAAAAAAATGTCAGGGAAAAAAGTCGCGGAAAAGAAAAGGGTCGGGTGAAAAAGTCATAGGGAAAATTAAGGGAAATATAGCTATGGCGTGGACCACTTTACTCCCCTGAAGACCAACCCACTATAGCCCCCCCCCCCACCTCTCTCTCTCTCTTGGTAGATAGATATTGTACAGAAACAGATAAACTCAAACAGACAGACTAAGATACGCATCATTTCAAGACCCCAGGACCTAGACAGACATACAGACAGACAGGGCTGGTTTTTGTATGTTTTTGCTAAGGTTAAGTGGCCATTAATGAATCTTTACCATACATAGACTACCTAACAGTGGCGGCTCGTGAAAAATAAAATGGATGGACTGCAAGCCTCACACAACAGTAGGTGACCTACCTCAGGAATGAGTTGTAGTTGATGTCCACGAATTCCCAGGGCATGGTAGTAGTGTTGGTGGTAGAAGGGATGTGTTTTGCAACTGAGAGCTTGTATGCTGTGTCAATCTGAGCTGCAATGTTCACTTTACCCAGCAACGATAAATTAATCATGTTATTCATATGTTTAGCAGAATAAAGTATTTGCCTCGTCACAACCACACAGCCATAAACACTGGCCTGTATATTCTTGGTTCCTGCTTGTACTGTTCTCTTCACTGGTCTAGGTCTTCCTCTTGCTTTGATTTCAGTCTTTTCATTTAATGTCAGCTGGGAAAAGTTGATGTTTTGCAAATACTTCACTCTATTTTCCCTCGTTAAAGGGTAATTAAAGAAAGCACCACAGTAGTTAACCACACCGTCCACACGTAATGTAAACACCAGACTGAGCGGCGCCAATTAATAACAAACATCAATCGTACAGCACTGACACCAACTATGAAAGTAACTTAAATTTTGGTCTGATTTTAATGAAAATTCACTTAGCAACGTATTGAAAATAATTAAATAACATATAAAATGATATATTTGTTGGTAGTGTATTATTGAGCTGTCTCTCTAAAGGAATCATACGCCTGGCAGTGAGTGTCTGGGGGGGGACTGCACTAGCCGCCACTGGTACC